TCCACTCATATGATCATCTCAGATAATAGTCTAATTGTCCATCTCCATCTCCAAGCCATCATTCACACAGCTGCCAACATAATCTTCTTAAGACCCAGGTCTGACTAGAACATTATACTTCCCCTTGCTCAAAAGCCTAAAGTTTCCTTCTATTAACTAGGATGAACCCTAACCCTTCGGTCTAATGTTCAAGGTCCTCCACAATCTGTCTCCAGTCTTCCTTTTCAGCTTTATCTCATGTTACTCTTTCATTCCTTTTAAATTCAGGCCAAACTATATTACTATAGATGTTCCTCAGTCTTGACATCTGATCTCCCATCTCCAAGCATTTACACAAGTCATCTCCCATTAGAGGAGACAACTGGCAAATATTTATTAAGTACCTACTCTGTGCTGGGGACACAAAATACAAGGAATAAAGCAAATCCTCTTCACAAGAAACTTACAGTCAATAAATTTAACTCAATAAGTATTTATTAAGCACCTACTATGTGCCAGGCACTGTGCTAACACTCTTGGAAGATGCTCTCCATGTCAGGATCTCAGAATTTTTAACCTTTTTCAATGGAACATGATGGAAGCACAGCCATTGATCTACCACATCAGTAAGGACCTGGATCAGATGCTCTGAGAGCAAGAGACAGAGGTGACCCCATGACCAACTCCATTGAGAATAGGACTAAGGAGAAGAAGGTGTCAGCTCCTCTGTGAATCCTTTCCTGATCCCAGCTATGAATGCTTTCTCTCTCCCTCTTACTCATTGGTATACATGTTATTTCCCTCCTGGGGATTTGAAACCTCTTTAAGGATGAGGATTATGAACTTTTCTTTTAGGCAGCATGGTGGCATGGTGGATAGAGGTTGTTACATGGAGTTAGGAAGACCTGAGTCTGAATCCAACTTTAGACACTTAGTAGTTGTGGGACCTTGCACAAGTTATAACTTCTGTACAACCTCATTTTCCTCATCTGTAAAATGGGGATCGATAACAGCACATACTTCCTAGGGTTGTGAAGATAAAATGAGATATTTGTAAAGCATTTTATAAACCTTAAAGAACCATATAAATGCTAGCTATTGTTACTCTACAGATGCGTTATTTATTGTTATTTTATGTTTGCATTATCAGCACCTGACATAATGCCTCGCACACCGTGTTTAATAAAATATGTTGAATTGAATTAAACAGACCTTCAAGATGATCTAACCCCCCCACTATACTGAGGCCCAGGAAGCTTAGTGAGCTCATCAGATCAGAGAGATCACAGAGCTGACCACTGATGGCACCAGGATTCAAACCCAGGTCCCCAGGGTCCAGATCGGGTGCTCTTTCCACTATGCCGCTCTTCAGACTCCAAGGCTGTTCCTTCTCCTCCAATACATTGCCTTTTCATTAACACCCAGCAGAGCGCTCCGAAACACTTATTACTTGACGAATAAGTGACAGAACAAGAATCCTTTCGGACATCAGGTAACTTTCAGCTCTGGCAAAGGACACAGGATGGGGTTTGCCAAACCAAGAAACAATGGGAAGGACTTCATTAGAACTTCCACAACCTAATAAAAGCAGGCGATAGTGACCACAACCCTGAGTCCTGGACAGGATGAAAGACAGGCTACCTGAAGGCGGCTTCACATGACAGGGCATTCCCATGAGTCATTCTTCGCAAGAGAAGTGAAACGGGCCTTCTGATTATGGCTGACCTAAATCTGGTAAAGGCACAAACTCCAGGCTTTAGGTTCCTCATTTCTAGAACACGGGAGAGGAATTCAGTGATCTTCGCAGATCCTGTCTAGCTCCGATTAATATAAAACCACATTTCCAGATCTTGGTATACTCACTTCTAGAAAGCATCCTGCTAGGGGGTCATGGCAATCTCCCCGCATCCCAGTGGCGGTGAAGACTCCGAGGCTAAAGCCAAGTCCAAAAGGACTACCTCAGTGTGTTACTCCAACTTCGGTCTGGGTTTCCCTTTGCCATCCAAGAAGTAGAGCAAGAACAGATGGTGGCCACGGTATAGTGGAGTCAGAGGAACTGGGTTGGAAGCCTAACTGCTATTTACTGCCTGTATAACCTTGGGCACGTCCGTCACCTATTACATGGGGATGATTTGCAAAGATCAAACAAGATAATGTACATAAACTTCTTTGTGAACCTTGAAGAACCACATAAAGGGCAATTATCAGTATTGATCCTTAACACTAGAAATATAATACAAACCCTCTCATTTTACTGAGGATAAAACTGAAGCTCAAAAAGATTAAATGACCTGCCCAGGGCCAAAACAATAGTTTATTGTGTCTGAGGTGGGACATGAATTCGGGTCTTCCTGACTCCAAGTCCAACACTGTAGATCTGCTGTTGATATTCATGTTCCTCTCATCAAACAATACCATGTCTGTATGGGTGCAGTGGTAAAAAGAAAGTGAAGGCTGAGAAGGAAGGTAGAGCTGGAGGACCTCACTGCGTCTAGCTCGATCCTTACTGAAGGAAGGAACACCAACAAGTGGCCAGAACACTTCTGGACGCGTACCTTAAGCCCAGCCCGGAGGCAGGTAAACATTTCTTCTCTCTTCTTTTCCCAACACTCTCCTTTTCCTTCTCCTGAGATCCCTCTACCCTACGTCTGCCAGTGACACAAGTGGGCACTGCTTACGTTCACGATGGCTAATTGATAAGCGGCTGTTCCCTGCTCTATTCCATAGGTTCTAAGACTCTAAAGGAAAACTGTAAGAAAGTTAAGAACTGTACTAACAGCCAAAAATGTTACACCTACCACTTCCCCCTCATTGACAAGGCTCGGTACTGGCAAAAGACCACTTCTCTACTCAAATTCAGAGCAAATTAAAATAATGAGAAATTATCACCCAACTACCCACACCAACATCACTTACTGGCAATTTGCTCCTTTGGAGCTGTGGTGTAATTTAAATGGAAGGCAGACATAATGTAATCTGTCCAAAGTACCTTAGTTGGGGGGGGGGGGGGAAGAACTTATATTAATTATTGGCCAAACTCCCTGGGAGGTAGCAGGGCTCTCCTATGCCAATTTTACAGATAAACACCCATTAGGGTGTTACAGAACAGTCCAACACTCTGCTCCCTCCAGTAGTTTAGCTCTTCTTGAGCACAGAAAAGTCCCTTATCCTTATTGACGTGTTATCACGCCTCTCCAGTCTTCTTGGCTACAGCATGGGCTTACGCCCTTTCACCACTTCTAGTCTTTCTCTGAGACTCAAGCTGGGAAGAGCTTTCTTATGCCAACTTGGGTTTCAGCTAGCCTTCACTGGCCTTGGCCTGCTCTCTTCTCTCACCTCACTCAGGTTTAGCTATCAGACCAAGCTCTCAGGCTCTTAGTCAAGGCCTAAAATTGAACTGATACTGTTGCTAGGTCCTGTGAATCTCAGACCCTTCCAGAACTGATGTCCTAGACTACTCTCCATGGACAAAAATCCCTGCCCCTCTCCTCTGGCTCTAGCCTGGATCAACCTTCTACTAGGCAGGTGACCCAGCCCTTTTAGATCCTACCGAAGTCCCTGTTCTCCAGTTAAAGGAAAGCATTTCCAAAATCTGGCTCCCAAAGGTGCGACTCTTGGGCTTCAGACAATTTCGCAATGGCCTTGTAGTCACCACCTTCACACCAAGTGGGGGCTTCCATGGTTCTGACCATTCTCACTCCTACACCTATTTCTCTCAGTCCTGTTAAGATTACCTAAAGCATATTCACTGGCCACTTGGACCTAATACTTCCCAAGCATCTCTCAGGACACTCAAGCAGGTACAACTCTCGAACTTCAACCAAAATCCTTCCTCACTCCTTCACCTTGCCCCTAAAAAGTTTAATTTCTAAGATCCTACACTACAGGTTTAAAAATTTTTAAATACTTCACAGCAGCAATAAGAACAGAAAATTTCTACCACTAGATGATTCCACATTTGCCACTAACTAGTGGCTAACCCTTGGGGAAAGTTACTTCCCCTATGAGAGATCCGTTTCCCCTTCAGTAAAAAATAAGTGGGTTGGACTAAATGATCCATGATAAGTGGGTTTCTTCCAGCTTTAATGTCTCATATTCTTAGGAGCCTTCTAGCCAGCACTGTTTTAAAACCACAAGGTGCCAAAGTAGCCCAAGCTTCACTCTAAAAAGCCAGCTCTCTATCTGCCTGCTTCACCTGTGGAGTCAAATAGAGTCAAAGCCCCACAGAGCTAGAAAGGACCTTCAAGGCCATCTAAGCTAATCCCAACACATGAATCCCCCATGCAACTTCCGTGGCAACTGGCCAACTCCTCCTAACACTGAGCCACTTAAACATCAAATTTGATTTAACTGCCCCTTTCTGTGAAGGACAGAACATCTTCTCCTGAAACTGCCTGCTTCTGTATCCTAGGAATAATTCCAGCACCTGATGAACAAGTAGGCTTCAGAGTCAGCAACAAATACCTTGGGTACCAGAAAAATTGGGTTGGGGAGGTAGTTATGAAAAAGAGGTTTAAAAAAAAAGAAAACAGAGGCTAATTGTACTCATTTCACAGTGCTTTCCTTCCTCACAGGCATATCTTGAAAAGGTCTGGAGGAAGGTCAAGGCCAAATGACTGTCATCATCTGCCCATAGAAATCCAGGCAATCTGCCCCTGTGAATGAAAGAAGCTGGTACAAAATGGAACAGAAACCAAAATAAGTATCAAGCAGGATTACTCCAAAACTAAAGGAACCTTCCAGCCTTGAATGTATTTAGGTGAAAACTTCTCAGTCTGAACAGACAGAGGCTCAATCTAGCAAGCACAAAAATCTATCACACAGAGGAATAATGTTCAAGCGAATCAAGCGTCTATGGACTCTGAGCTGGGAGGGCTGGGTGCAGAGCCTCCAGAGCATTAGTCTGAGGGTACTTGGAAAGGAAACAAGGAGCCACGAGGCTCATGGTGTTCTTGGACAAAGAAAACATGGTGAGTAGACACCCCATCTTCTTCCATCTTACGCAATTAGAAAACCAGGTCTTGGAGTAAAGACATTTATTGATACCCATTTGATATAGTTCAATGAAAGAATCTATAAATATAAAAGCATTTTTTCTTTTGGATATCACCATGGTCCATGTAAATACTCAACAATCAGAATCGTCTGCAGAAAGCACTCCAAGTCTCACTGTTAGGGTTATAGAACTTAATATACAGATTTAATATAACAGTGGCACTTATGTACTCCAGTGGCTTTTACACATGTAACTATTGGGCATCTGGAGGAAAACAATATGCATATTTCAATCAACTGAAAAGATTTCAATCACCATCAAGAAAACGATCAAGAATTAATATTGTGGGTAAAGAAAAGTACCACATTTGACACTTGGTGTCAGAATACTGGAGACGAAGAATGTAAACCAAACACAGGCTTGGGACCACGTGCTCTCTCTCCCATTCCCAAACAGACTGAAGTGGACCCAGCATGTTACAAGCTATTGATGCCTTCTGGATCAGTCTGACAAACAACAGCAGCTGGACATACAGACATCTATTATCCGAGAAAAAAATATACATACATACATACATACATACATACATATATATATATATATATATTTTGCTCCTATCAGGGTAGCTAGAATAAGGTTAAGGAGGGGTGAGCTAAATGTTTTCATGACATGATGAACACTTCTTCCACAGAAGAGTGAAATATGAAGTCAAGTTAAAAATATTCCCTTGGTTACATTAAATCCTGATCGTGAAAGTGAAAATTGTGGTCATCTGTCATCTTCAGGAGAGAGAAACAAGCCATTTTGGTGCCCAAAACTCAAGTGTGAAATTTCTCTACAGTCTCAAAGCTTTTTCCTCAATACTTTGGAGATGTGGGTAGCTAGAGTTGAGCCCTGCATTCCAGTTGACAAGGGTTGGAATTTTCTTCATTTCTTCAAGAAAGAATAGTGAAATTTTCGATGCAGTCACACTGTTTGTCTTCTGAGTTAGAGAGCAAGTGCATTAGTGGATTGGTTTTCAGTGTGTGGTGTCCACCATTGGAATTGGAGAGGCAGTGTTAGAACTCAAGCAAGGCAGGGTATTTTAGACTAATCAAATGACAACCTGGGTGAAGCTTGGGATAAATCTGTCTTTTCCATTACACTCAACTGGCAATCACTGAAACTCTCCATCAAAAGGAGGAGTTTAATTTGCATTTGTCTCCAAGTCTGATATACTCAAACTACTAAGGGAGGACTCAAAAGAGGAAACACACACACTCAAAAAAACCTGGAGTTTCCAATGTTAACTTCAGTGGCCTCAAGTGTTTTTTTTTTTTCATTTTCTGCTTTTTGCTTTTTTGTTTTTGTTTGTAAGAAACACAGTAGCTTCAGTTGTGCAATACCAGTTGAAGGGGCTTTTGTCCAAATCAGAAAATAAACCCCTCTATCCACTGGAACTGGTACCAGATTCCCACAAACCCCAGCTATTGCCGGTCCTGTCACATATGACATCTGACTCAAGGTTGGAGAAAGGGCCAAGGAAGAGCTCCTTGGCCCATGTTCCCACTAGACGGCATTTCTTGGTGCGCCATTGTGAGTCACTGCTTTCATGGCACAGGGGTTGGCTTGATGGCTGCAGGCTCTGTGAGAGGTCACACCCACCTCAAAAACTTCATGAATAGCTTTGCGGAAACAGTGGAAGTTGTAATCTATTAAACCTGCAAGAAGAAAAGAGAAGATTCTTCCTAAATGCCAATTGTGAAAGTGCTTGCTAAAACTTCTATCTGGGGGGGGCGGGGCAAGATGAATAAAAGCACACACACCCAAAGGAAAAATTCCCAAAGGTACTTTTGTCTACTATTTCAGAAATGTGCCAGGGGTCACTTTTAAAAACAGAGTAAGATAAAGTACACCAGACTCACAGAAGACAGTCAGCTTCTCAATCATGTGGGCCCCACTACTCAGCTAGCTGTTACTCCCTCAGGCAAATCATAGGCTCAATAAAACAGGGATTCTGCTGTTTGCAGTTTTAGAAAAGTGAGCTATTCTTATCAAACAGTGAACAACTAGAAAACCCTTTTCAATACTTTATAGCACCTGGATGCTAAGCCTAAAGCTCAGTAGCACTGGAGAACACTGAAAACGTCAGTATATTTTTCCAATAAAAATTCTTTATGAACTGACAGAAAGTAAGCAGACCCAGAAAAAAACAACATACACAATAACTACAACAGTCTAAGGAGAAAGACAAAAAAGCCAAAAACAAAAACACCATGAATTCTAGGTGATTATATAGAAGAAGTCTGGCACTGGAGAAGAGTTGAGAAAATGCACCTTCTTCCTTTCTTTGCAAAGCTGGAGAACTATGACTGGTTCAAATCTGGCCTCAGATACTTACTAGCTGTGATTTAAAAAAAAATTCTTTGTTACCAGATATGGCTCAGATATTTAAAAAAAAAAAAAGAAGTATCAAAAAAAATTTTAATTCAACACAAAACACTGTCTTTGAACAGCTTAACTTTCTCAGAAAAGTCACAAACAAGCAGCAAAGGCAACACAAAAGTCCAATTCAAATGTGATAGCCTACTGATATGATAACGTATTACACACATGCACCTTTAGCTACACATACTAATCATCTTCCTCCAGTCTAGCAAGAAGGAATTTCAGAAGTAAATCATGTTGCTAAGATTTCCCTTACAGTCATCCAAGACACCCAGTAATAATGAGCTAGATTCTACTCTACGCATAAATCATTCACTGATAGTAACTTGGATACAAGCATTATAGAAGAACATTAACATCAGCCCCTGTTAGATGATGCTTGGAGTGATTTAATTCTGGCAAAATAATTGTTACCATTATTATTATTTAATTATTTGATTCAGGCAAAATATGGGCCTAGCAATCGGCTGTGCTTGACATACGAATAACAGTCAGGCTAAAATAAAAAAGATGGTCACCAGATTGGTTGAAATATAATGCATTTTTGTGGGCACAGCAATTCTCCAAGTCCTTCCACTGCCAAGTCATAGTGATCATGGGACTGGGGATGAGGAACTTGAAAAGAAATAAGAAGGATTTGACAGCTGCCTTCAAAGATTTAAAGGCCTGTCTATCACTGGGAAGAGGGATCAGACTCTTTCTTCTTGGACCTGGAGGGCAGAACTAGGAAAAATACTTAGAAGCTGCAAAGAGGAAAATTTAGGCTGGGAATAAGGAAAAACTGTCTAACCAGAAGAGCTAACCCAAAGTGGACCAGGCTTACTCAGGTGACAACAGGTTCCCCAGCTCTAGATCTTCAAGCAAAGGCTGGATGACCTCTTGTTGATATGTAACAGAGGGGATTTTTGTTCAATTGCAGATTGCATTAGAAGTCTCTGCTGTCCCAATTCTGATTCTACGCAATCACTTCTCTCTAGACCTCTCTATAAAATGGGAATAACAACATCTGCACTCCCTACCTCCCCAAGGTCTCATAAGGAAAACAATGTCAAATCTTAATGTGCTATGGAGAGTTATTTCATGTGACCCCACTACATCCCCGTAGCCATAGTGGGAACCTCTGCTAGTTTACAGCAAACTCCCCCCATACCACTTCTCTCATTTCCATCACTGGTGAGGCAGATGTAATGACAGTCAACAAGATGACTACTCTCTGATCCCCAACTACATCACAACTCCAGTCCTATATGCACGTTCCCAAATAAACATAACAGAACTGTGGACAGAACCATGCCAGGATCAAATGAGATAATAATTGTAAAGTACTTAACACAGTGCTGGTACATAACAAGTAAGCACCACGTAAGTGTTAGTAGTTAATGTTATCATTTGCTGACTGGTTTTGTGAACCACTTTTTTCATTAAAAAAAAATTCTTTGTTACCAGGTGTGGCCGAAAAAGATCATAGGTAGTTGTATGGATGGTTTAAAATTACTATGAGATGAAGAAAATTTACAGAAAGAAACATAAAACATTACAGGAAACCAATTGCCCCAGAAGAGGATGGGAAAAGCCTAACAGCAGGTCCATAAAGAGTTCTATGCGTTCCCATGCCTTTCCACTGCTTATCTATCCTCCATGCCTGGAACACACATCCACCTCACATCTACCTCTAACAAGTACCTTGTTGTGTTAAAAACAATGCTCAAGCAACGTCTTCCACATGAAGCTCCCTAAGCTGCTAGGTGCCCTCCTCCAAAAAATATACCTTTGTGTCTATTTTGCATCTATTATTTATGTACATGTCTCCCTCAATCAAACATAAGCTCCTTGAGGGCAGGGACTGCTTCATTTTTGTCTCTGTATCCCCAGCACCTAACAGAGTATCTGACACACAGTAGGCATTTGACAAATGTTTACTGACTGATTCATAGTTTGACCATAAGCTCAATATTATTTAACAGTCACTGCTAAAAAATCTAATAGCACCCACAGCTTGGAGGGTAATAGTCCAACTGTATTATATGTGCTGGTCAGATCATAGCCAGAATATTGTGTTCAGTTCTGAGTATGTTTTTTTTTTATTTGATTTTATTTTTATTGATACTTTCTGTTTTTATATTACATTCATTTCTTACTACATCCCTCCTCCATCCCCCAATTCATCCAGGCATTCTTTGTAGCAGAGATAAAAGGGGAAAAATGAATTCAGTAAAACTAACCAACACATCAACTCTGTCTTACAGCATATGCACAATTCCACATCCATAGTCTCTCACTTCTGTAATGAATTGAGAGGGGCTGAGTACAGAGGGATATTGACAAATGGGAACCTGTCCAGAAGAAAGTGACCAGGACGAGGAGGAGACAGGGAACAGGTAGAACCAAGAACAAGGGACCATTTGAGCCACTAAGAAAAGAAGACTCGGGGACTCGAAGGGCTGTCCTACAGAAGACAGCAGAACCAGGACCAACGGACAGAAATTAAGTGACTCTGGCTCAGTGAGGATGACGTTCCAACAGCTGGCAGCATGCAGTGATGGAACAGGCTTCCTTGTTCACTTGTTAAGAAGCGAGTTCCCTCTCACTGTTATATCCAGGCAGAGACTAGATAATTAGCAGACATGGTATAGAGGAGAATCGGGCATGGGGCTGGATTGTCCCCTGAGGCTCCATTCAATCCTGAGGTTTGGATTGTGTTTTTTAGAGCGTAAGGATTGGGAACTCCTCCAGCAAGAGAACAGGACAGGCAACTTCAACCATTTGCATTTGGCTGACCATCTACTCTATGGACTGATGATACTAAGCATTTAATACAGGTTTTTTATGGTCCTGACATTTTGCACCTACCTTATTTGGGTCACTTCCCATCCTTCCCTCGTGCCAACCTAGTCTATGTGTTGAACTAACACAGACTCACTTAGTCAATTAATTTGATTAAAATAATTTTTAAATTTTTAAATTTAGTTGGAGTGGTGGGAGGAGATACGATGAAATCCAAAGTTAAATCACTCCCATTCTTCGCATTGCCCACCCTGACACCCCAAACACACATAACACTCCACCCTCACCCCTATCCCTACCCCAACCTCCCCCTTCTATTTCAGAAACCATAATCAAATCAAATCAACTCAGTCACTGCTCCTGAAAATGATGGGTCAACCTACTCACTCACGGCTCCCTTCACCATTCCCATAACTTTCCAAACCCTGTGTGGCCACCACTCCCGATTATGTGTTGCTTCCTCCATTAAAATATAACTCTTCCTTGGGGGAACAGAAGTCTTCCCTTTTGTATTTGTATCCCTAGTGTTCAGCACAAGGCTTTGCACACAGTTTAAGAAATGCTTTTTTTATTCATTTCTTTATTCATTTGGGGACTACTGATTTTTCATAATAAGCCCATAACATCCCATTATTATTTTCTGTGGTAGTCAAAAGAAAATAAAGTGAAACAAAGGACTTTACACAAATACAGCTTTTAAAAGTCGCCATTACCTTTACGTTCAAAGCTTTCTTCCCTAAGAATGCAGACCAGTGCCAAAAATTTTGTCACTTCCTTTAAATAAAGGACAGTTGTGTTATTTAGTTTGATAATTGCCATAGATTCTTTATCATATGCACTTCCACTGCCATCTTCCTTTAACCTATTTAAAAGAAAAAACTTTTTGTCACATGTTCCCAATCGGATTTCCAATACCCAACCTTCACCTACAATACATAGCTAAATTGCAAATCATCATTATCCTGCGCAGAAATATACAATATGACAAATGCTTCATCGCAATGCCCTTAATGGCTTTCAATAAGAATGAATACTAAAAAGAGAAATATGGAGTTTATTGCACATAGTACCTCATTTCCCAAAGCATTTTGCCAATATCAAGTTTCCCCATATCAGAACTGGTTGCATAAGGCTATTTAGTGTGTTTTTATTTTAGTAGACACAGACATATGTATAGACATACTGGACTATGTCTAGTATAAGGTTCACAAAGGTATGATCACAAAAGACCACACAAATCTCGTCATTTCTAGGCTACACATCGCTTTGTGGAGGATGGCAGCAATGTTTGTGGCCCTTGAAACATCTCACCAAATAGGTTCATGCTCCTACCTGCCTTAAATCTATTCCTATATATTTGGCTCAGATGCTTACCCTCTCCTTCCCATTTCTTTCAGGTCACTGCTGGGATCTGAAACCCTGTGAGAAAACATACTCCCTTGAGAGAAATTCTATGTTCAGGGGTAAATATCTTTTTTTTTTCCTCACACCGCATTAGAGTATCCCAAATATGAGATGAAGAACATTAATTAAATGCTTAAAAAAATGCCTCACTTAAAGTGTGTCATTTAAAATTATTCTATGGTAGGTGACACGGGCTCTGCAAATGATTTCTAAAACTCAATAACTGAGGAAAAACATAAAAGCTGGAGGTGTCTAACCCTTCACTACAGAATGACATAGGTAACTTCTGAACTACATCCAGCTGTTGTTGTTTGGCCATTTTTTCAGTCACATCCAACTCTTCATAACCCCGTATGGGTTTTTCTTGGCAAAGATACTCAAGTGGTTTTCCATTTCCTTCTCCAGCTTGTTTTACAGATGAAGATACTGAGGCAAACAGGGTTAAGTGCCTTCCCCAGGGTCACACAGCTAGTAAGTGTCTGTGGCTGGATTTGAACTCAGGCTTCCTGACTCTAGGCCTGGCACTCTATCCACTGTATCACCTAGTTGCTCCATATCCAGCTACCACCAGGGAATAAGGGGAGAAGAAAGGGAAACCTTCATTTTTCTCAAATCGTAAAGTAGAAAACTGTCTTCTGGAGAGAGGGAAATTAGCAAGAATCTATTTTATGTTTTCAGCACTGATATAACATATAATGTTCTCTTCTAGCCTCTATGCATGGAACAGAAGAAAAGCGAGTTGAGCATTACACACTATGATTTTATCAACAGACTCTGAAAGAAGGCATTTAGAGAAGTGATCACATCAGATGAAGCACTCACAGAAAGAAGTTCTGAAAAGTTACAAAGAGTTTCTGATCCTAACCTTGCTGGAAGTCCTGAAGCCATGGACCAGATGAAATTAAGTTCTATTTGAGAACAGCTTAGTGAGTTTAGTGAGAATTGTACTGATTTGTACCTAAGATGTTTCTTTCTTTAAAAGGCTTACTAGTAAACATCTTTTAAGTATAGTATTTGTTGTTTATATTTAGTCAGCTTAATACAAAGTATTGTTTTTTTTTAAAGGAAGAAACACATGCTTATCTGAATCTCAAGCAGAAGCTTTACTGATCAGACTGTGTGACCATAAGTGAGGCATCGCCATTTTGTGACAGCATACCTTAAATTCAATAAACAGAAATCACGTCTTAGACGCTAGAACTACAAGCCTCAAGTTACAAAATGTCATAAGGGGAAAAGAATAAAACAACTATACGGGCCAGGATAATTTTTCCTATTGTCATCTTGTTGTATAGTCAACGAAAATGAAAAGGCTCTGGCCACAATATTCCAGAAAGTCATGTTTGCAATGCTGGCAATTTTAGTTACCTGAAGTTTAACCTTCTAATACAATTTATCTGTATTGTTTTGGGGGGCGGCTGGATGGTGCCATAATGCACAAAGCCCCCAGGGCCTGTGGACTCAAAAAGACTTTCTGAATTCAAATCTGGCCTCAGACACTTACTATCTGTGTGACCCTGGGCAAGTCACTTCACCCTGTTTGCCTCAGTTTTCTCATCTGTAAAATGAGCAGAAGGAAATGGCAAACCATTATAATGACTTTGCCAAGAAAAACCCAAAAATGGTCACAAAGAGTTGGGAGCGACTGAAACAACTGAACAACTTGGGATAACAACTTGGGACTTGGGATAAAATGTTGATGGAAAGTAAAGAAAAAGGGCAGCTAGGTGGCGCAGTGCCACTGGCCCTAGAGTCAGGAGGACCTGAGTTCAAATCTGTCCTCAGACACTTGACACTTACTAGCTGTGTGACCCTGGGCAAGTCATTTAACCCCACTGCCTAGCCAAAAAAAAAGTGAAGAAAAAAATGGGAATAAAGAGAACCCGAGCAGGTACTTTACAGACCAGATGAGTAAAAATGTGGTACACATACTTCAAGTGTCTCTGAAATACAGGATTTAGGGAACTTTGAATCCTATGATGGTTCATAAGCATAAACTCATCAGAAAAATAAAGATACAATGTGCTTGCATAGACTTCAACCATCGCTTTCACAATAACCTGTCCTGATCTCTAGAGAACAGAAATGGAGGGGGTTGATCTCAAAATATTTAAACCTAAACATCTTTTGGCACTTCTCCAAAACAATGGCCCTCAATATTTTCCTTTCTAAATTACTAAATATGAAATTATTTATCAAAAATTATATGGCATTTATTGTAGGAAAAGGTTTTATTTCTTCTATTTTACTCCACAATTTTACTGATGTACCCCTATTTGTTTATTCTAAGCACATTCCATATCCTCAGGATCACCAGATGAGCATTTGCAGATTCTTTCAATATATTTCAAGCCCAAAAGCATTCAATGGACAAATTATTTTGGAAAACACTGATACTGGGTAGGGAACTAAGTAGGAAAAAAAAACTTAAAGAAGAGTATGAGAATCTGTTTATGAAGATGCTAAAAAATTCTGACGAATGCACAACAGCCTTTGCGGAGATTGAAAACTACTTTGCTTGTCAAAATCAAATGTCTCATTTAATCTACTGATTATTTTTTGTCTTAATTAAAGCAGAAATGTTGGTTATTTATTAAAATTAGGCACCAATGACCAACAAAAAAAAAAAACTCAATCAAGAGCCAAACACACATAGGGAGCAAATTAATTTAATGATCCTGTGGCCCTGCTGGTTTTATTTCTTCTCTTCCTGTGTGGTGCCACACAGGGTTTGCTGCCATAGCTCGAACCCAGGAGACATTTCTCAGTCCTAGGCAGCCTCCCACCCTCCCGTTTTCATCCCTTCTCCAGGCCTGAAAGCACAGTCCTGCTGCTCTTCACACCACCTCTGTTTCCACTCAGGATTCTCCTCAGCCCCGAGCCTCTGGGCAAAGGGCCCCAGCTTCACCTTCCCTGTTGTTTCCCAAATGAGGACCCACGTTTTCTTTAAGTTTACTACAAGTGGCTCCAGGGGACATGGATAAAACAACAAATCGACAAATTAAAAGGAGAAAAGCTACAAGTCTTAAAAGCCTTAACCTGAAGGCGCCTCTGATTCACTAAAATCTCAAAGTATCTATGCCCAAGCTTCCCCAGACACACAGCAACATAAAAACTGAGCAGGAAGGGACCGCAGAGGTCATTCAGTCCACTATCCCTGAGTTCCCTGCCAATGGTCCACTTGAACATCTCCAATAACAATAGCATATAATGATAATAATAATAACATTCATATGGTGCATTAAGGTTTGCAAAGCGCTTTACAAAGATTATCTCCTTTGGTCCTCCTGGCAATCCTGGGAGCTAGGTGCTATTACCCCAAATGCACAGATGAGGAAACTGAGGCACAAGAGATTAAGTGATTTGCCCAAGTATCTGAGGCAGGATTCAAACTCAGTCCTTCTTGATTTCAAGTTCCACTGTACCACCTGGCTGTCACCAATGCTGGAGACCAAAATATCTCCCAGAGCAACCCACTCCACTAAGAGGCAGCAAGATGTCACAGGGGATGGTACTAGACTTGGGAGTCACTGCCTCACACACCAGCTACCTGCATTAGCCTCTGAAAGTCCTTTCACTTCTTTGAGCCTGTTTCTTCCTCGATAAAATGAAAGGGTCAGACTCAATGGCCTGTCAGGTCCCTTCCAGCTCTAAGACTGTAACAATACATTCTAGAACACTCCTAGATTCTTGTAATGATTCAGCAGTTTCCTCTTACAACCAACTGAAACAGGCTTCTCAGGGCTCCCTCCCTCCACAGGAGAGCCTTCAGCTAGCTCCAGCTCCACCCACACCCACCTCCTTTCCCTCCCTTCTCCCCCAACTTTTTTCTTCTCCAGGCTAAATACTTCCAGCTCCTTTCTTAGTTAACGCTTCCCTCCTTCCAGTTCATCTCTCGGTTCAGGGCATCAGAACTGTACAAATAGTGAAGAGCTTCTCTGAGTACTGATTTCTTATGCCAGCTTAGGTCTCAGCCTGACAGAAATCATCTCTTCTGGCACAGCCTAACAGGTCACGCCATCAGGCTTTGACACCAGACCAAACTGTGCGGCTCCAGGGCAGGAGAGATTTCAGCTGGTCCTGTGGCGAGGTCTAGTGGGGGCTTTGGGTCCCTTCCAGAACTGGCTCCTAGTGTTCGTGCTACGTACGAGACCCCGGTGATTCCCTCTGGCACAATACTTCTGTCTTGTCACTGACCTCAGCCTGCTGGATCCTGCCCAGTCTCTGGCCTCCTCACACCAGACTCCCCACTATACTGCTCTCCTGGATTCCAGGCCATCTTACACTCACCTTATAGTTACCTCTTTTATTCCAACTAGATGTTTGCATCAGTTTAGCCCCCAGAAATCTTACTACCACTTCTACCCACTCCTCTCAGACCTGAAACACATTCACTAGTCACTTAGACTTACTACTTCTGAGAGCTCATTCAAATACAACTTGTCTCTTACCCCGTTTTTCATCTAACCTCCATTCCGAAACATATTTTTCCAGATTTCTAGCACTACAGATTTTAATCAGAACATATTTTGTAAATACACAAAGAATAGTAGAAACATCCCACCCCTCTCCCCATAATAAGATGGCTCATAAAATGGCTATTTCCTCTTATTTTCACTCACCTTTTTTTTTACTTAAGAAGCTAAAACAAAAAATCTTATTCACTTACAAGACAAATAAGGAATACAAATACTCCTTATACATACAAATATATTTATCTATGTGTGTATATGTATATATGCATCATATGTGTATGTATATATGCACATGTGTGTATATACACACACATATACATACAGACACACCCACACACTAGTTCTCATATTAAGAAGATGGAATAAAAACAAAAGAGAAATAGGAGCAAAGCAACAGGGAAGACAAGTGATTGGGAAGACAAAAAGCAGACTCAAAGAGGGGAATGAGTGTGCGTGACCCAACCCAAGAACTGGGACAAAAGGGAGGCAAAAGCAAACTGAATATGGAAAAGGCTAGAGAGACAGACCAAAGTAAGCTCAAGAACATCTGGAAGAAGGACACAGGTGCAAAAAAGGCAAGTGGTGAGAGAGACAAAGAAGTGACGAAAAGATAAGCCAAAGTCAAGGATCAGGGAACCTGCAAAGAGGGAAAGCCAGACTAGGTGACATAAGAAAGACAGGAGCATGAGGAAAGACAAGAGACTAGAGGAGCAAACATAACCAAAGGACAGCAAAGGTGGGAGGGGAAAGAGAAGCTCATGCAGTTCTTGGGTCAGCATGGTAGGGCCCAAGAAAAGACAAAGCACATGGTGGCAGGAGAAGAAGCGAGTGCTGTTCTTAGATTCAGCAGAAGTGGGGGCTCACATCTGCCACCCTCCTAGTTGGGGGGTCTATAAACAAGACTCAGAAGCTGGGCCAGAGTTTCCACATTTGTACAATGTGGGTCAGGAGTAAGCAAGCACTGAAGCACTTCCCTCATGGATCTGACACGGAGAGCCAATGACACCAGGGGGTTTGGAATGCTATAGAAATACCACTTGTTGCTGTAAACTTAAATGTAAGCAGCAAACTCTTCTTGTGCCCCTTAATCTTAATCTCCAGCAGAGCAGAGGTCGCTGGCCTCTGGGAAGCCTATCAACCCTCCAAAAGTTTGAAAGAGTCACTCTTTTGGCTAGCCTGCAAACCAGCCGATCTGTTTTTTCTTTGTAACAACTTTCACTTCAAAAATGCACCCAAGAAATCCAGACAAGCTATGAAGAAGTTCACCTTAGGAAGAGTGAGTCTGTTTTCTTGCTAGACATAAAAGCTCTGACATCCAAAATTATCCTTTGAAAGATCAGCACCTCCTCTCTCCCCAATGCCTGAAGGTTACATTAGAAACTAGCAGATAGTATATTATTCTGAGCTTTGTTAATAATGCCAGACCAGCTTGATTTAGATTCTAAGGGGAATAATGACTACAAATAATATTCCCCTACCCCCCAACACACACATACATACATTTAAAAAATAGATGGATTGGGACAGCTAGGTGACTCAGTGGATAGAGCTCCAGCCTTGGAGTCAGGAGGACCTGAGTTCAAATGTGACCTCAGACACTTGACACTTACTAGCTATGTGACCCTGGGAAAGTCACTTAACCCCTATTACCTCACCAAAAAAAGAAAAAAAAAATGGTTTACCACCATTCCTAAGAGGAACAAGGACTCACTAGAAGAGTTTAAACACAAATCAAAACTCCCAAGGCTATTCTCCATGAGATAGCCACAGAATCTCAAAAAGGAGAGAAACATAATCTCTAGGCTGCAATAATATGGGCCAAACCAAATGTGCCTCGTGCAGTACTTGGTAGAAGACCAAAGAAATTATGGCCCAGGTTTAACCCAGGAGAGGTTCTAACCTCCCCATCTCAGAGGAAGAGAGCCTGAAAAATAGGTCACTTACCCATATATACAAGACACATCAATTACAACATCAATCATGTCACAACACAGCTCATATGACTGCATATCCACAGGGGAGCTGTCTGTTGCAATGTAGATTTTGCTGACAACATCGAAGAGAAAAGCTTTTTCAATACCTGAATTCTTCAAAAAACAAAAATTAGGAAAGTGTTCAATCCTTCTCAAATACCATAATTTACACAAGATCTATGGAGATAATCACATTAATCACTTAATCACATCCAAATTCACTTCTGAAATGACTAGCTCTTTGCAGGGAGACATTCTTATCATGTGAAGCTTAAAAATGGAACTGCGCTACTGTCTGAGATGACCAGAATAATAACATCGCAAAATTTTACTTTGTCCTCCTTTGCCATCTATCATTGAAAAGTACTATTTTCCAAGAAGAAGAATAGTTAACATTTATATAGTGTTTACTATGAACCAACGACTAGGCCAAGCACTTTACAACTATTATCTCATTTGACCCTCACAACAACCCTTCGAGGTAGCTGCAACTATCCCCATTTTGCAGATTAGGAAACGGAGGAAAGAGAGATTAAGTGACTTGCCCAGGACCACATAGCTAGTAGGGGTCTGAGGCTGAATGTGAACTCGGGTCTTGAAAACTCCAGACCCAATACTCTATCCACTGTACCACCAGCTATCCTCAGAAAGAATTCCAGAGAAGAAGCCACAGAGAGAATGACAAAAAAAAATTTCCCCAAATTTTCCAGCCAGTCTATGCTTTTCAAAGTCCAAAACTGCTCAAAATAATCCCAATTTTCAATGCCACAGCCTCAAATTGCTGCAGAATCTGCATGTGACAATGACCATGAGAAAATCAAATACTGATTTTCTATAACATGAAAAGATCAGAGCTTTGCTTATGCTGGCCTATTTAAGCTCACCAGGTTATGATCAGGCAATATAGTAGCTAAGCTACCAATCTGACCGAGCATTTCCTTATTCACTGAACTGATTCCTCAAAATAGAAAGTAAGGCATAATACGCAATTAACTTAATTCAAGGGAAGAATGCAGGTTTTTGGCTTGAAAATCATCTTTTATATATGTCAGAAATTAGAAGAATAAAACAAAATGCCCTGAAAAATCACTTGATCCAAAAATCTCATTTTATAAGTGTGGAAATTAGCACCTGAGAGGTGAAACACTTTTCCCAAGGTTATACAGATAGGGAAAGGCAGAACTGGGACACTTTTCAGACAGAACTCAGGCCTCTCACACTCAGGCAACAACAAACTCCTTTCCAACAAACCATTAGAATCAAGGCTTAATGCATGAGCTCACACTCTCCCTCTCTTTTTTGTTAAGCTACTACAGTTCTCTGACATCTAGAAGGTATTTTCTAATTACAGACAATTTATGTTCTAATTGAAGTAGTTGGTGGCACAGTGGATTGATAGTTATGCCTGGAGTTCAGGAAGACCTAAGTTCAAATCCAGCCACAAAAACTTACTAACTATGTGATCTTGGGGCAAGTCAGTAATCTCTCTTTGCCTCAGTTTCCTCAACTGTAAAATGGGGATAATAACATTACATATCCAACAGGGTTGTGGTGAGGATCAAATGAGATGATATTTGTAAAGTGCTGAGCATAGTGCCTGGCATGCAGCAGGTATTACATAAATGCTTATTCCCTTCCCCTTCCCCCCTAAAAGAAATATAAAGGCTCTTCTCAGCATTTTATGAATTATAAAAGCAAATGCTATTTAGGAATGGAAAAAGACCAAAAAAATACTTAGACAAACTGAGCCCATTCTGAAACTGCAACAATACTAAAATGTATTCTAATAATGCTCCTACGACTAGAATAATGAGTTAAACAGCTTACTTACGGATATAAAGATATTTAATAGATTTTCCAAGGTCGGCAGTTGTGGAATGAGTTTCTGCACCACCTTACTAAAGGCTTCAAATATTGAATGGTCATAGATACTAGTCAAATAAAAGCTGGAAAACACAACCAAGTTTTATTAATCTGAAAAACATTTTACACATAGTGTCTTGTTAACAGTAACATGTAAAATTTTAAAGATCAAAATACTTAATTTCAACTTACTGGCATCTTTAAGTCTTGAGCAGAAGACTTGATTTTGTCATCCCCACTGTCCAATGTACAAGGCATGATTATAAACTAATGAGACCGATTCTCACTCGTCTCTTATAGAAATCAGTCTCATTACATTACCATCACACCATATACATTTGAAGTTGTGCCCAGGGAGGTATTTGGGACTGCAGGTGCATGAGCATGGATCTAAGTCTTTGGAATCTGATCCAAAAGGCTCGGTTTCTCAATTACAAAACTGAGCAGAAGTCACAGATGGAAACCAAGAGCAAGCTCAATCCAGAGAAGACATCAGTGACATCTGTTAAATAATAAATGTAATGATAGCTTGTCTTATCCTTGGGGAGAATGCAAGATGTAGGGACAACAATGCAGTGAACTTTTCTTCCCTTTAACTGTCGAAATGCTTACTAAGAGGTGCTTCTCAGCACATTGTTAAAATGAAAAAATATTAATAGCAAAATAAATAGTGAGAGAAGGAATTCCACCTGCAACACGAAGATGGTTGAAATTTGGGGAGAAATGTTCCCAAAATACACAGTGTAACAAACAATGAAATTGAGTCATGCTCCAACCTCACAGATACTCTTTAGTAATAATCACAAACCAAGAGCTGCTATTCTTTCAGTTGCAAACAGTTTGCAGTAGTAGGACTAACCAACCCCTAATGCTCTTAACTACAGAAGCTCATAAACTATCACCCAGCTCAGAAAAGAACCAAAATTTTTTGGAGCCCACTGGAGCTTGAAGGCCTGCCCTGCCACCCCTTCAAAGCCTCTCTGCCAATCACAGTCCTATTTAGTTCAGCCTCTCATGAGGCTGAGAACAAACTGACTGTTGGGCAAATAAATAGCTTGAATGAGGTCTACATGATGAGCTAGATCCGGAATGTTCTGCAACTAATCACCTAACAAAACATCTAGATACTAAGAAGGAGAGTCCTTGCACTAAATTCAGGAAGATTTTATTAGACCAAGACAAGGAAGTCCCAAACCAGATTTATTTTTTTATATAAAAATACTGACTTAAATTACTTGAGACAAGTTTTAGTCAAAAGACTTAAGGTGACTTTGAAGGCCAGGAAAACACATAGGTCATTTTGCTATGACTCAAATCATAAAACACTCCCCACAATCATGCTTAATAAAGGTTGGGAGAAGGAGAAGAGCCAGATAAAAAAATGGCTCTGTGGGAGGGAACATGAACAAAGAAAACCACAGCATGTACACTGACACAATTACAGGCATTTTTCCCAGGGTTCTTAAAGAAAGAATACACAAGTACCTAAGATGGAGTTTTTCTAGCCCAGCATCCGCAAGGTCATCATTGGCCCGCTGATGAATGTCCCTCTGAGTTTCTATTTTGTGATCATCAGACAAGCCATCAACTTTATGAATAAAAACCTCAAAGTTCATCTCTGGATTAACCTTGTAGGCTTTAGAAACAGTGATGTGAAGTCTTGTTAAAGCCTCCATGTAGTCATCCTATAAAACAGAAACAGAGAATTGAACAACAAACATCTATCCCATCTCCTTGATTCAAAATCCCTTTCTTTCTGTTAAGATAATATAGTCACACATACCAAAGTATCTATAACTTTGATAACTACACAAATTCTTTAAAAATAAAATATATCCCTTCCAGTCAATACTAAATATATTAATGTTTTCTGACTACAAATTTTCTAACGAGTTTAAATATGACACTCACTGTGAACACACACACACACACACACACACACAGAGGATTAGGTAGAACCCACATTCTTCCATAACAACTCATATCATTTTGAACTCATTCTTATATAGTTTCTTAATTCAGGCAAACAAGAAAACATGCTCCTTCTATTACAGGACACAGATAAAGTTATTTAGTCTAAGAGTCTACTTCACCATTGTTACTAAAAGGTACTGAGATACCTGACATTAGTCAATAAAAAAGGAAATACAGCAAAGACCTCAGAACTTCAGGATGTCAAATGTCCCCAACCACTTGCCCTTCCATACCTAAAGACTGGCAAGTTCCTCATATGCCACTTACTTCCTCAATTCTATCTTAGAATGCTGATAACTAATCTAGTGACAATTAGCAGAAACAATGTTTGAGAAACAAAGGTCAGAGAAAGTGAATCTTTTCCTTAGATTCCTGTGCTTTTACAACCAATTTAAAAAGAAAATGAAATCTGATTATTTATAACTACCTGTGCGTCAATGACATATATTAATGCCCCTGTGCCCCTGAAGATCATCTCATAGTCAAAGGTTGGGTCAAAAAAGTCCATTTGCCCAGGAAAGTCCCATATCTGGAAATTCACAAAGGAGCTATTGGAAATGTCATCTTTGTAAATTTTGTTGGTGCTTTCCAAAAAGAGGGTCTCATTGGGTGACATTTTATGAAAAACCACCTGTTAAGAGAAATAAAAGATCAGTCTTACCACTGATTACAAACTTAGTACACAGCATTCAAAAACTAGCCCTAGATTGGTAAAAAATTAATCATGAACCAATAAAGAAATGCAAGAATGGCCTTTTAGTAGAAGTTAATGGGCCTAAATTGATCCTTCTGCAGGGTCTAATCACCAATCTTTTCATTTTGCTAAAAGAGGCCCCATTAAATTACTGATTATCCACTAAAAGAAAATTGGGAACTCCAAAATGTTTGCCTTATTCTCTGCTCTATTTAAAGATCTAATCTAATAAACAATTTAACATTTAGAATGAGCTTATAGGATTTTGGGAGAGGGAGAGGAGCGAGACTGGAAGTGACTTTAGAGTTCATCCTCCTCTTTTTACACATAAAGACAGTACAGCCCAGAGAGGTGAAAGGGCTTTGCCTTCAATGGTGAACATCAGACAATTGGTTGTAAAATTAGGGCTAGAAACCAGGTTTGCTGACTCCCAGCACACCACACTACTATTATATCCAGCTTCACAATTTTTTACCCAACTTTAACAGCATAATCATTACTCTTTACACCCACATTTCCAGGAACTTCTTAATACTTTACTGTACAGTGAAAATTTTCATCTTTGCCTTAGGGACTACTTAAAGTAATACACTGACATTTAAGGGTCTCTTGGTTTAAGGAACAAAATCCTAAAACACTCCTATCTATTAAATCAATATAACCAACATCTCTAATAAATGGATTTTGTCAGACACTTAGATTTATTCCTTTTTGGGAAAATGAAATGGGTAACAACCCTCAAGTTTGGGTCAATGAGCAATAACCAAAAAGGTATTTGGAGCTACAGCAGACACTTTGTACATGTGAAATGAAAGGCAATGTAAGGATAGTACTATTAAACTAGTATTGACCTAAATGAGGGTGACATCATTCCAATGAATATTAAGTCACTTTTTGAAAGCATAAGTGTTCAGCATTTCATAGGATCACAGACTGAGAGCTAGAAAGGATCTTCTAACTGTGGACACACAGGAGATTCAAACCCAGGTTTTTGACTCCAAACTCAGTTTGATTTTCATTGTGCCATGTTGTCTCCAGACTTGCATCTAGTCCAAACTCCTGTTTTTACAGATAAGGAAATTAGGGCTCAAGGTCCACCAGAAGTAAGCGGCAAAAGTAGGTTTTGAACCCAGGTCCTCTCACTGAAAGCCCAGCACTTTTTCCACAGCACCACAGAAGATGCCTTTTATTCATTTTGTATCTACTATGCACTAAGCTCAGTTGATCTGCACTGGGGAGCTACAAAGATAAATTAGATGGTTCCTGTCTTCAAAGAGCTTACAATCTACTGGGAGAGACCAAACTTGTATACAAATAATCATAATACAAAACAGAACGTAAAAGCGCAATTGAGGTAACAAAGTAACAAGAGAATTCAGAGAAGAGATCACTTTCTGCTAAAAGAGGAGGCATCTGAGCTTTGATCTTACCAATTTGGAAGGTCTTAAGATAACAGAATTTAAAATTAACATGGACCTTAAGAGATAGAACTTGGCCAAAGTCACAAAGGTAGTCCATATTCTGGTCAGGATTCAAATACATATTCTCTGACTCCAGTCTTCTTTCCACTACACCTGGCAACCAACAAAGACAAGGCAGGGGCATTGCAGAGATCAAGGCAGAGAATGATGTGACATGGGTGGGAAAGCAAAGTATGTGTCTAGAACGGTGACGTGTCTGGCCTGGGGAAGGAAGAATGTATATTCTATATAAAGGGGCAGCGTAGTGGTTAGGGACTTGGACTTAGAGTCAGGGAAATTTGGGCCCAAATACCACCTTCACTGTATAACCCTGGGCAAGACACATAGTAAGCTTTCTGTGTCTCGGTTTCATAATCTGTAAAATGAAGGCGTCCATTTCTAGATCTATGAACCCTTGAAAATGGCACAATACAAGACTAGAAAGATAGACTTAAGTCAAACCTCTGGAGGAATAAGATCAAAGCTATCTTTCAGGAAGATAAATCTGAGAGCAAGGTGCTGAACAAATGAGGATGGGAGAGTCAGAAGCCAAGTGAGAAGCTACTGTATTAAAATGCCCAAAGGAAGATATGAAAAGGGCCTAGACTTAAGGCTGGCAGCAGACTTTCAGAGAAGGGTTGGCTATGGAAGCAAATTTATAAAATAAAGACTATACGATGTACAGAATTTACTTCCAAACTTACCTTCCTCACCATATACAGGAGAAATAGCAATAAGCTGTGTGTCTCAGGAGGTACAGCCTGACTATCTATGCAAGTCCAGAGACAGCATAGCACAATGAAAATCAAACTGAGTTTGGAGTCAAAGACCCTGGGTTTGAATCTCCTGTGTGACCTCAGGCAAGTCACTTCACCACTCAGGGGATCAGTTTCTTTATGAGTGTAATGAAGAAGTTGTACTAGATATCCTCTAAAGTCTCTTCCAATTCAAAATCTGAGTGTATGAGACTTGTTAGTAAATTAGTAATCACCTTCCCTTTTCCTCACAGGCCCAACCACAGAAAAGATAACTGGGTTCACATCTGTCTAGAAAATCCTTCCGAACACCTTAAGAGAGACCCGGTATCAAGTAACTATAACCATAACACTGCCATTCCATTTCACCAATCCTAAAACAGTCCTCTGACATTAACTAATTCCTCATAAACCAAGAAAGAAGTAAACAACAAATTCTTTACCTAACCAGATTTAATTTGGTCAGAATCCCTGCAAATTTATATCAACTCTCAGGAGGTATATGTCCAAAGATGTAGGATTTCAAACTAGAAGAGATCTATGTCCCTGGGAAATCCAGTACATTTCCTCATTTTGGTTTTTTGTTTTGTTTTGTTTTTTTACACTTAGCCCCAAAGATGAGAAAGGATTCAGGGCTGTGGGCCTAAAAGTGGTGCCTTCCAGATTATCTAGTCCAAGCCTTTCTGTCTGAGGATGAGAATGGAGGCCCAAACTTAACTCCAAGTCTCTCAGGTAGTAAGCAGCAGAGCCCCGGATTGTGGTCTAGGTGCACCAAAAGAAGGAAGCCATCGAATTAAGGGTTCGTGCAATAGGAGATAGACACAACGCTTCATAACGTCTAGGCCTACCTGGGGGGCTCGGGGCCCCACCCCCTTCTCTGGGTCTCAGTTTCCCTTTCTGCAAGAACGACTAGAACGAACCACAAAGCCTCAGTGCGCCTTCCCAGCTCTCGGGACCCCTGCCCGAGGGAGCCCCCGGGATCATAGATATAGAACTGGAAGGGACTTCCCAGGCCATCCAGGCCACCCCCTGGGGTTTACAGATGAGGATAATCGAGGTATGGACAGGTCAAGAAGGAGAGGGGGAGGGACAACCCGGAGAGCCGGGAGGAGGGAGGAGGGCTCCCTCCTATGTCTCCAGGCAGGGGCTGAGCCCGGACCCGTTTGCTCTCCCTCCTCACGGCGGGCTGGGCGTGGGCAACGAGACGCTGCCAGGGCCGCGGCCTCCGGGGGGCCCAGACTCTGGGCCCGCCCCCTGCCTCAGGCCGGGGTCCGAGGGGGACTGCGCGGAGGGACCCGGACTCACCTTCTGGATGGACGACTTGCCGCTGCGCCGGAGGCCCATGAGCAGGATCCGCGGCTTGGAGCTGTCGCCGCCGCCCGCGCCGCAGCCGCCGCCCGCCCCGGGCCCGGCCGAGCCTCCGCCCGCCGCCGCCACCACGGCCGCCTCCTCCTCCTCCTCCTCCACGCCGTAGCCGAAGTCCTTGGGGAACGAGTCAGCCGCGCCGTAGCTACCGGAGAGCGGCGCCTCGTCCCCCCCGCCATACTGCAGCGACATCGTCCCGGAGCCGCCGCCTGAGTCCTGACAGGACAAGCCAGGCCAGGCCAGGCCAGGCCGCCCCTCCTGCCACTGCCTGCCAGCCGCCCCCCGCCGCCGCTGCCGCCGCCCGGACCGGCCCCGACCCTTCCCGCCCCTCGCCGCGCTCATTGGGTGGACGCCCGAGCTCCGCCCTCTCATTGGCCCCCGCCGCTGCCACTCGGAGGCAGCAGGGTAGGCGGTGCCTCATCACGTGCCTTACGTCACCTGACTGGGCGCTGCGGGAGGGAGGAGGAGGAGAAAAAGGAGGAGGAGATGAGGAGGAGGAGGAGGACGACAGGGTCACGAGGAGGGTGCCCCTAGATGAGCTTGGAGGCCTGGTCGGTTTGGCTCGGCCCCTGCCCCTCCCTTCCCTTAAGCGCGGCCTGAGAGCCCGGCCCCGGGCGCCCTCCTCCCTCCCCCCACTCCCAGCCCGGCGCTTGTGGCCGTGCCAGGGGCCGTGGCCTCTGGCCCCTGGCCCCACAGGCTGAGTGCGCGCCCCGGCGTCCGGGCCTGCAGGAGCGCTCGCCTTTGTCTCTCGATCCCCTCTCCCCTTCTCTTCCCCCAGCGGACGGGGAGAGCCCTAGGGCCGGCATGGGAGCGAGCGCTGGCGCGGGGAGACCCCCCCTTAGGAGAGGAGGCTGCGCGGCGCTGGCCCAGCGGGCCGGTCAGGCCTTCAGGGCTGCCTGCCGAAAAAGATGGGGCATCGTGAGATCTCCTGCAGCCGCCCCGGACTTGGAACTTCGGGACCCGCGGCTGATTCCCTTCTCCACCTTGGCGGACGCTTGGCCGAGCACAGCCAGGCCTGTGCTCAAAACCCCTCCCTGCCTGGTAAGACCTGTCAAGAGTTTGGGCTCCATTGGCAAAGCTTTGGAGATGCCAGGGTAGATGCCTCAGCAGCTCGAGGCCATTTCCTCCAGAAACCTTCCCTGACCCCCGAATCCACCAACACCCTTCTTTTCCCCCCTTACAGGAGCATTGAGAACATAGGGTGTCCCCCTCCTCCGCACCTTGCGGCAGATTGACGGGAGGACAGAGAAGAGAGGCACAGGGTGGGTGGGCGTGATGGGGCTGCAGTCTGCATCATTGGGAGAATGTACCTACCCTCGTTGAGATCACAGATCCATTGGGGCGTTGGAGGATGTGCGTAATCTAGATAGGCAGAGGGGAGAAACGGTGGCCAGGGAGTGAAGATGACTGGTGGAATACTGGCTCTTATAACTTGGGGGGGGCGGGGCAAGGGCAATTCACCACCTCTCTGGGCCTGCGGACCTCACAGGACAATGTGGTGAGGAAAGTTCTGCTTAAAGCCTAAAAGTCCCATGTAATTGGGTAGTTATTGTTAGTGTGCACGTGCGGGTGCTAACAGTTTTAATCAGAGTCAATACAATCCTAATGAAAAAGAAAGATTTAAGTAACTAAACATAAGAAATAAAGGATGGTTCTGGGTTGGCTATTCCTCTATGCCAGAATTTCATCGATAGTTCTTTGGGCAATCTATTTCCAGCTCAAAAAAAAAATTATTTTTGAGACTTGGTTGTTAGGAAGAAAAATCAAGATTTTGGGGGGGCATACTAAGTTTGAGCTTAAGTCAGAAAAATTTCTAATTTAGTTTTGTCTAAAAGGTTGCCTTTTCTGCCTACCACGATGAGACACAATTAAGACAGGCACTAAAGGATCCCATCAGATCTCTCTATCTGGCCAGGAAGTGCTCTCCTGGCAACTTTGATCATCTAGGCAGGAGGCAGGAGCTGTACATGTCCTTCAGATGAACCACTTTCATTTGAGTTATTGAACATACTTCTCATAGGAACTTAGTGGTGAAACTCTACCTAGAGTTCAGCTAATCCATCCTAACACCCTCAGTAACAACATCCCTAACAAATAGCTTCAACACCCCCAGTGAGCAGGAGCTCATCACCCAAGGCAGCCTTTCCAATTATTAGACAGGAAAGTAGACTGACTTTAAGTCAGGAGTCCTGGGTCTGAATGCCTGGTCTAAACTGGCACCTTTAAGGCAAGGTATTTAATCTCTGAGTCTAAGATCCCTCATCTGTCAAATAAGGGAAGAGGGAGAATGAGATCTCAGTAATCTCATTCTCCTCCTCCCCGCTTCTATAATTTTTTTTTCTTGTATTGGGAAAAATTCAACTTTCCATTTGGTCCTACTTCTACTCTTTGGCACACAAAGCAATTCTATTTCCTCTTTCAAATGACATCCTTTAAATATTAGAAGACAATAAAAGATCAATAAAAGTTAATTTTCCAAAAGTTGCGTTACCAGGAATCCCCTTGCCCCAAGTCTTCTTCAAATTAAACATTCCCAGCTGGTCACGTGGCATGGTTTCCAGCCCTCCGGCTGCCCTCCTGCAGATGTATTCCAGCTCATAATGTTCCTCTTAAAATGTAGGATCCCAGAAATGAACCTAGTATTTCAGATGTGTCCCAACAACAAAATACTGTGGGACTAATTTCTGGGGATATGCACACTAATTCTAACACAGCTGCTTAAAAAAGCTCATTTTAAGCAACAGAAATTAGTTCATACTGACCTTGTGGTCAGCTTAGATCCCCACATCTTTTATACATTATTCCCAAATGAGATGTCTACCTTACTGTAGGAGTATACATTTATCTTGTTAAATTTCAGCTTAGTGGTTTTAGTCCCATATTCCAGTCCCTTGAGGTCATGTCATTTGCAATAATTAGCCCTTCATATTTAATAAGCATACCTTCTGATCTACATCCAAGATACTGGTGAAAATGCCGAGAGAAGGACAGAGCCCAATGGTGTGCTACTGAAGACCTCCCTCCAAGTTGATATAGAGCCATTAAATCCACACTCTTTGTTAAAGTTCAACCAGCTTTAATTAGCCACATGATCACCCATCCAACCCACATTTTGCCACATCATATAACAAATGTAGAGTAAATGCTGCTCATGACCCTGGGTTCTAGAAGTAGGAACCCAGTGACATACTGTAATCTCATCTAAAGACCAATCTATCTAAATTTCAAGATCAAGGCCACATAATATTGGACTTTTCAGCCACAGCAACTCTCAAAGGCTACCTAACTAGCATTAGAGCAGAAATCTGTGTTGTTGGAGGGGGCATCCATACCGAGGAAATTCGTGGATCCTTAAGCTATGGATTCACGAAATTGTGTCCAAGATGTATGCCCTACATCTGCCATTCCAGTAATTCCATACAAAAAGGAAATGGTTAGCTCCTTGCAGTAGCCTGTCCACACCCATCCATGGAGGAATTTCACATCCTTTACTTAAACTAGGCAAATGCAAGTGATTTGCTTGTCCCAGACTCACCCCACTTTTCCCCCCAAAGGTAAAAATGATGTCTCCTTCAACTGAATTTAATACCTCATTTCCTTCTCTTTGTGGCACTTTGTATAAGGTCTGGTAGTTAGTGGTAGCTTAGCTCTCCTACTAGATTGAATTCATTTTTGTATATTCCACAGCACCTTACCCTTAGTAGGTGCTTAATAAAAAATAGTTGAATTAACAGTATTGCATTTAAACCACCTCCACAGATGTAAAGAGTGGGACCAGCAAGGCACATTGGATTAACGAGATTTAGTACCATCAAGTTGGAATAGCTTTCAACAGAGGTTGTAACATGTTATTACTATCCAAACCAGTCTTAACTTAATAGAGGAGACACTTCCATACTCCCAGTGGTTATTAGAAGACACTGTATCATCTACAAGGGCACAATTTGGAAAGAAAGTATAAACCAGCATTTAGAACCGGAAGGTAGCTCAGGTCATCTTGTCTAGCCCCTTCATTTTACAGATGAGAAACTGAGGCCCCAAGAGGTGAAGTGACCCCCAAATGAGATCACCCAAGTACTATGTGGGCTTAGAGCAAGGATCAATAACAACATCAGGTGACCTAAGAGTGGCCTGGGGGAAAGGTAAAAAGTTCCTTCCCTACCTCAACCTTGCCCTACCTACTTCATAGGGATACTGAGAATGAGATGAAGGACTAAAGGGGTAAATACTTTAGGAGCGATCCACTCGACAGATGACCATGAACTACCGGTACCAAGGTTCTAGAACTGTCTCATTTCAGGACTGCCTTTGATCAGTGCTGAACTAAATAAGCAAGTTTTACAGGGAAGAAAAGGGCACAAGAATTACAGAACATCAGGACTAGAAGGGACCTTGGAGACCACGGGGAGCAAGCCCCTCAGTTTACAGAAGGGGAAACTGAGGCCTAATGAGAAGTGACTTGCCCAAGGCTACACAGTACATTAGTAGCAGCAGGTCTGGCTCTGTTTAAAGTTCCATGAACTTTGGCTCAGGAAGTGCCACTGTATAGCGAGCTGCAAAACAAATATGCAAAGGCCAGGGTGCAGGAGGAACACAGGGAAGCCCACTGCAAAGCACCACACGAGCCAGCAGCCAGAGCACAATCACAACAGCAACGTGGAGGAGAGAGGACCAGTGAGCCAACTCAAGCCAAGATAACGTCCAAGGCACGGCATCTCGACAAAGAGCTCACAGGGACTCCAGGGAAAGTCGTGCAGGGCTGCGGCTGCCTCCCCAGGCCTCCTCAGCTACAGGCCAAGCTCACAGGGAAACCTCACAACTACAACGTTGTCAGCTTTACAAAGCATGGTCCTATCTGGGCTTCCATCCTGCAATAAACTCAAGGCAGCTCCATGCTCATTTTTGCTTGCTTAAAATGTAACAACAGTACAGTCATTTTTAATCTGAGAAAATGACAGATAACTACATTTTAAGGTAATGAAGACAATTTAGATGGCTGTGTTTGGAATTCTCAGGATTTACTTTTGATTTTCCTGCTTTATGAGCCAAAGAAAATTATATTAAGTTTATTTATTAGTGATTCTAAGTGTTTTTATAACAATTAAATGCGATAAGTGAATTTAACATATTAGAAGAGTTCTATAGTATCTGTCCATAAAAGACTTGATTATATACTATACAAACTATGCAAATCGTACAAAGCCAGTTTTCAGTGCCTGTTCAACTGAGAAGAATCCTATTCAGCACGCTTCTCCTCCTGAAGTGGTTCATACTGAGCAAGCTATGGGGCAAAGACAGAGGAGCTTTGGTGAGTCAGATTCTAAACTAGGTAAAAAGCAACTCAAAGCCAACAAAACCAGCAGCAGTAACTTGATTATATTCAATCTAATTAGGAAGCAGCACACTCACAATAGCTTCAGTTCCTGCACCAAACAAGCCTCCATTTAAAAGTCACTCCAGGCTCTAATATTTATCGAATTAAATCCACTAGAGGCAGGTTTTAGTGTTGACATTTTCAGATACTTTCATTTACCACACTCAAAAACATGCCCAGCTTTTGGCAGCACAATTACTGTTTTTTCCACATTAAGACTGACTACAAATCATTTTGATGACTACAAATCATTTTGACCACGTTAGGCACTTTTGTGAAATGCATTAAGGGAAACTGTTTCTCTCCCCACCAAATCTGTGGTTCTAAATGATTTATCAGGAGAAATTTCCTAAAAACAAGTAGAGAAAAAAAAAATGTGTAGGATATTCTGATAAATGAACCCACCAGAATTTAGCAGCACTTTAACTTGCAAAAAACTAAAGAGCAAACTAGCATCAGCACATTGTAGAATCCCAGGTGGTACCTAGAATATTTTCTAGGCTGAAGAATTGTCCTGTGGAAAGAATACTGGGCCAGGACTTGGAAAACCTGGGTCTTGTCAATTAGCTGTGGGATTTGGATATGAGTTGGAAAGATAAAATAAACATCTGACAAAATGTCTAACAAGACAAAAATATTTAACAGCCATTATAAATTACACGAGTATTATATGTAAAAAACATTACAGATTCAAGACAGAGTAAAACTTCATTGATTTGGACAACACTCATTTAGAGCCTATGAAAATTAAGAGTCAAGCTGAGGTTTATCAGTGTGCTCAGAGAATAAGATTTTGCCCATCAAAGGAAGAACACAAGTTTTCAAGGGGTAGTTTGGCCTACTTTAAGAGAAATCATTAAAATAACTTTAGAAATACATTTTCCTAGAAAGAACACCAATTATTAGTCATTCATATCTTCTCAATAAAGTAGGCCCTGAGAACTTTTTCAGTTCAACATTAAGTACCTGCTTTTGCACAAGTCAGTATTCTTAACTGCCCTGTATTAACCTCAGATTACTTGCACAGACTTCAAAACAGTAAAACTTTTATCTTTTTTTCTAACAATCTGTAATTCAGACTTTTTTTGCTTGAATAGCCTCTCTTTGGCATGTCCAAAGTTGTGAGGTTTTACTGTATCATAATCGGGAACAGTGAGGGAGGGGGTGCTCTAAAATTCAGTATTTACCTTTGCTTTCAGCTTTTTGTTTTCTTCTACCACAGCTTCATATTTCTCTTTCACCTCTGCCAATTCTAGGCGAAGCAACTCTATTTCTGGATTTTCTGGAGTCGAAGCTCCTAAGTGATGCTTTAGAAAACTAAGAGTGGAGTTAAGAATGTTCTCGTCTTAAAGTGAAGGAGCATCGACAGCGACATCTCCCAGTTACAACTAGTATAATGTAGGATGTTGCTGTGTGTTGTGAAGCAGCCTGGATTAGTAAATTTGAAATCAGAAGACCTGGGTGCAAATCCCCCTCTGATCCTTCTACCTTTGCCCTTGGGCAAATAGATTTCATGTCTTGGGCTTCAATCTCATCTGCAAAGTGGGGAGAATAATATTTAATACTCCTTCATTCTCCCTTACAAGGCAGTTATGGAAAAAATACTTTGTAAATCTTCAAGCTCTATAAATGTAAGCTCTTATATGATACATAAACATTATTGGAATTTTTATGCAATAGTCACAATCCTGTCTCCAGAAGGAAATCAGATTACAGGGTAGGAACCTTCCCTTTATGAGCAGCTAGGTGGCACAGTGAGTAGAGTGGTAGGCCTAAAGTCAGAAAGACCCAAGTTCAAATTTGGCTTCTGACACTAGCTGTATGACCCTGGGTACATCACTTAATCCCTATTTGCCTCAGTTTCCTCAGCTGTAAAATAGGGGTATTAACAGTACCTATTTGGTGCTTAGGATGGCACCTGGCAAAGAGCAGGTGCTGGAAGGAACCTTAGAGATAGCATCTTATCAGGGGCAGCCAGGTGGTACAGTGGATAGAGCACCGGCTCTGAAGTCAGGAGGACCTCAGTTCAAATCCAGCCTCAGACACATAACACTCACTAGCTGTGTGACTCTGGGCAAGTCACTTAACCCCATTGCCTAGAGAGAGAGATAACATCTCATCCAATTGCTGAGAGATTCAGGATCACAGAGGTAGGAAGAGGCAGAGCCAGTGGCTTCAAACCCACTTCTGACACCTGCTGGGCTCAGTGCTTTTTTTTGGTCATCCCCAGTTGCCCTTGCTGTCATTTCCACGCAAATCAACCAGATATACAACATAACCTCGAAACTCAGGCACTGGAATGGACAAACTGTAAAGTCCTTCTTCCCCTCAATATTTTACAAGGCTTTCTATGTGGAAAAAATGCCCAAGACTGTCAGGTGGGACAAAGGATACTCCAATGCGCTATTGGGTTTTTCGGGTTCTTCATACAGGGCGACCAATACTGCAGATTAAAGGGCAGAAAAAGTAGCAGTTAAATACAGTAAGACTTATTGGCTGAGGTTTTTAGTTTTAAAAACAACTTCCAAGAATTACTTGAAGAAGCCTTGTATCTGAAGGAATCAAGGACTCTTCTAAGTAAAATTTCAATACAAGAAATGCTAAGAACTTTTTAATCAAAAACTTAAACAAATAACTAGTAATCAACATGCTCAGCTAAGGACAGCTCAACAAACAGCAGATCCTGTTGCACAGAATAAGATTCTTTCCCAAGATGCTGAGTCCATATGACCACTGCCATGCTAGAGTGGATACAATAAATTAAATTGAATGTAAAATTCTACATAAATACATTATTCACAATTCTTTTTGGTATATTATCTATACATGATAACAATTTAAATTCCTACATAATAATCAATATAATAAAATTTGACATGTTTTTCAAAATGTGATGCAGTGATCTCAAGGAAAAGGGAAGGTGCTTTTTAAAAAAAAAGTTAATAAAGCGTGCTTTCTGGCTGTCGGTGCTCACTCTGGTGTTCAGGTCCTCAGATATGATTCCACTGATAAGATGCCTATCCATGAGACAGGAAGAGAGACTGGACTCCTTAAACTGGAATTCTACCTGTAATTCTGAAAGGTGTACAAGATAGGAATTGGCACAGTCTCTTGATATAGGTCAAGAAAAAAAAAGACCAAGTTACCTTTTCAGCAAATTGAACTAGCCCAAGGTCACACAGCTGGTGAGTGTTGGAGCCAGGGGCCTATCCTTCCAAAGAAAGGTTGGCACCTCTGACAAGATGGAAGAAGGGAATAATAAACTCAGAAAATGTAAACTCTTTAAGGGCAAGGCTGTCCTCCTTTCTGTCTTTGTCTCTCCAGCACTTACACTTCAGAGGCATTTGATATAAACACTTGTGGAACTGGATTAATAATAGAACTAAGGTAGAAGAGATTATGAAAAGTATGCAAGTTGAATAATTTTGGTAAGATACAGATGTGCCCATATCAGTAGGTATGGGAACAGGTGTCTCAGGCATTTAAAAAAAGTGCACTTATTTGGAAGGCATTTGGAGAACTAGAGAACAGAGTATAAACCACAGAATCTGCACTGGGATCACAGCCATCTTGTCTAGCCTGTACATGAACAAGAATCCCCTAAACAACACATCCAAGTGGTCATCCAGCCTTTCCTCGAAGACTTACCCTGAGGGGAAACACACTACCTCCCAAGACAATTCAATACATTCTACTTTTGGAAATCTTTAATTGTTCTGAAGGTATTTTCCAGACTTGAAATCAAAATCTGCCTCTCTGCAGCTTCCACCTATTGTTCCTAATTCTGCCCCGTGGGGCCAAGAGAACACATCTAATTTTCCTCCCACAACAACCCTTCCAAAATATTTGAAGACAACTGACAGGCTCTCTTTCTCCCAGTCTCTGTTCTTCTCTCCTCCTATCCCCCTCCTACCCCTCAGATAACTAACGGAAAAATTTAGGGAATCTATGAAATAGAAAGGAGAGATAAAATGGAACATGCGAGGACTGTGGCATGTGGACTTGGAGGTTGTCATACTGGCCCCTGGATTGATGCCCAGGATAGGAACTCTATTCAAACCACCAGATTCTAAAATCCAGACCTAAAGGGTAAGTCTTATTTACACATGCACAATTTTCTCTTCTCTGTAACTCTGGCCATCCTGCTTCTCTCCCCATGGAAAATCCAAGATGCTGAAGTGACTAAATGCCTTTGGTTAACCTTCTGATCTCGCCTCTTCTACCTTGTTCCCTTATCTATCCAACTTCCACCCTCAATCGTAAATCCCACTGGGATAAGGATAAAGGGAAGGTACACAGCAGCAATTGAACTGGATACAATGTAACAATTTTATAACTCCACCCCCCCAACTCCTTAAACCATAATTCTGCAAGAAAGAAATTGGTGGTCTCTTTATATAAACCCCCAAAAAAGTACAAAGGTATATTTCAGCAGAATAGAAAGAGCAGCCTGCTCTGGGCCTCTAAACAACCGTCTTCAATAATTTTAATACTGGATGAAGCTTTTCCGGTCCCAATACCACTTTGTATTTAAACTTTTTTATACTGTGTAACCTTAAAAAAAAATTAGCAAGTGACTTAAGTCACATTCAACAGCTTTAAAACTATAGCCTTAAATTAACCACCTGGATTTCCAACCTGTACGTACCCTCAGGTTTTCCAGATTAAGGCGTAATGGAATTACACAAACTCGTGGTGAGGGGGGAGGGGGGGGTCACACCACTTCACAGATCTGCCAACTATTTGATTTGCAACAACCGCAGGAGTTAATCTTTCTCCCCCTGGCCTAGGCCAGGGGACAGCCGCCACTCCCAGGGCCAGCAAAGGGGAAGCTGAGACGTACAAAGGGGAGGGGTTGGAGACAGCAGGGAGCGGGCGGTTGAGCCTCACAGTCCAGCAAACCGGTCGTCTTCTCTTCCGCTTGCAGCTTACTCGGCGGCCTCGGCAAGGCCCTGCAGCAACAACAGCCCCTGGCCCTGGTACAGGTGGAGACGTACCTGGTCTGCTGTGTTTCCCCTCACCACCACCACCACCACCACGCACACACACCCCTTCCCCTCCCCTCCCCTCTCCTGGGCATCCCCGGCGTGCCGAGCTGCCGGAGCTCTGGGAATGAGAGATCCCAGCGTGAGCGCCGCAGGGGACTCTGAGTGTAGGGGTGCACCACTACCCCCCCCGCTCTGCACATGGGGGTTCCAAGGCCCCGAGGGGAGAGGCAGCTGAGGGCCCGGGCGGGCCGGGGCTGGGGCGCAGCTCTCCTGCGCCGACTCGGCCGCTCAGCTCACCTTTGGTGAGCGTGTCCAGCACTCCCGACTTCTCTAGGTACCTCCGGAACTGCTCCCGCTTCGAGTCGGCGGCCTGAGGAGGAGACACCGCAGGTCAGGGTCAGGGTCAGGGGCCGGGGAAGAGGAGCTGAGAACGCCCCAGTCCGTAGCCCGGCTCCATCTGCGGCTCCCTAAAGCCCCGACACACGCTCTACACGAGGCCGGGGCCCCCGGCTCCCGGACGTCCCTCCCCTTCTCGCCCCGCGTCCCGGTCCCGTCCCCTTCGCGTCCCCTCACTTTGTAATGGGCCATAGTGACAACGGCAGCGGGCGGCGTAGCCTGCGCGCCCCACACCGTGGCTGCCGGGTTCCTGGGGCAGGAACTGCGCGTGCGCCTAGAGGCGCGTACGCCTGCGTACTGGAGGCCCACGAGCCTGGGACGCTGGGGCGTGGTCTGTTTTCATGGTGACCGGGACGCTGTGAGTTTCCCCCTCGCCTGCCGCGCTCCTGTGCCTAGGGAGTCTGCGTAGACGCGTAGGCACACCCCCGGCCGGTAGTCGCCTGCCCGGGTGCATGGTTTCCTCTTCCGGCCTCTCTTCCGAGGTCGTTGGGGGGGGGAGTGTCGTGACTCTAGAGCTAGATTGGCTGGTGTCGCGACAAGGAGGCGAAGTGAGCTTGGAAACGGGCGCTGGGTGGGACAGGATTTCCCGACGCGCAGAGCTGGGGACGCTGTTGGACTCGGGGGATTCCGTTCGTAGGACCCAAGAACACCAGAACTGGAAGCGACCTTCGAGGCTGGCTAGCCCGACCCCCTCTCGTATGGACGGGGAAACTGAGGCCCAGAGAACTGGCGGAGGGCGCAGCTGGTTGGGAAGGGGGATTAGCCAAGTCTCCTCCCTCGGAGTGTGTGGGAAGGGGGTTGGTGAGGAGTGACGGGGCGGGTCGAAGCCAGGTTGGGGTCCTAGAAAGGGGAGACGGCGCCTGCGGCGTGCATAGGTCCATACGTACCATGGGAGCAGGGTGCTGCTGGCCTGGGGAGGGGGAAGGTGGAGTTTGGCTCTATTCTCGGGCTCCTCCTTCCGTTTTCGTTTTCTGGCGTACTTGGCCTGTCACTAAGAGGTACATTAATGGCCAGAGTGAGCCGGCGTCCGAAGCTCCCTGCTTGGGAGGAGGAGGGTACATTGCAGGGCTTGAAGGTAGGAATCTGTGACTAACACCTGGTCTTTATCCGGTGCCTCACAGCCGACGAAGACAGGGTTTTCCTCACCGTTCCTGTGAGGTAGATAATGCAGCTACTGTTAGGCCCTTTTTACAAAGCAAAGGCATCTCCAGGTTTTTTCATTTGCCCACTAGCACACTGCTAAGTTAAATAAAGGCTCAGTCTTAATTAAGCCTTCTGACTTCAGCCCAAGTCCAGTGCTGGGTGGGACTGCTAAAAATAGAAAAAGGTGCAGAGCTTAGAGCCAAATAATGTGACTGTGACCATTTCCTTGTCAAGTGTTAAGGTGGAGGGGAGATGACAAGAGAGGTAGTAACACCCACCACCTTTAAGATTTATTTACAAGGTGACTGCTGAAAATTTATTAAGCATATCCATTCATTATTTACTGAGCTGTGATATAGTCTGATAAAAGACACGTTATGTGCCTTCATGAAATTCATGTCTAATCGGATGTTGATAAAAGATAACCCGGGAAAGTAAAGTAAAAGATGTACAAATTGGTATGTTATTTCAGAGGTGAGAAATCACAATTGGGTATTGTCAGTCAATAAGCATTTATTAAGCTCCTACTATGTACTAGGAACTGTGCTAAGCTCAGGGGGAGAAAAGAAAGACTAAAGATACCCTTTGCCCTTGAGGAGCTCTCGATCTAATGAGGGAGACAACATGCAAACAGCTATCTACAAACAAACCATATACAAGATAGGTAAGAAATAAGCAACAGAGAAGGTGCTAAAATTAAAAAGGTTTGGGAAAAGCTTTCTGTAGAAAATAGTATTTTAGTTGGGACTTAAGCAAGAGAAGCCAGTAGATTGTTGATGAGGAGGGAAACCATTCCACGAATGGAGGACAACCAATAAAAATGTGCAGAATCAGGAGATATAGCATGTCTTGTTCTAGGAACAACAGTTATATAGTATCAGTGTGCTGGCACCTCTTGGAGGGGACTTCAAAATTTTCAGGAATTTTGCAAGCAGATTGTTAAGCAGAAGCATTATTAAAAATTAAATTACATGAACCTACAATTAAATGAATTATATTAAAAACAAAGGTAATTACTCAATTCATTTTTTTTTACTATTACCTATGATCTTGAGGTGTTAGCCATTGTAACTGTATGGTAGAGGTATTATATTATAGTGTGCTACTTTGAATCTCTTCCCAAGTCCCCATTGTAACTTGAAATCAGCTATAATGGGAGTTTTATATACCACTAAAATCAGCAACATTACATACAAAGCAGGACTTGTTTTTATTTTCTTCCTAATTGCTAGACTTAATAAAATAATGGAGAAAATGTTAATAATACAGATTAAACTTAAAAGGATATCATGTCTGTAAGCCATTATGTTGTTAATATGTACAAAAAACTAAGGAAGTATTCAAAAAGCACTATCCAATTCAGCAAATAAGTGTCATGTCATTGACAAATGAGTGAAATTCCAACATGAGTCTTCATTGGTTCACTTTTGTCTTACTCATTAAAGTAAATGAAAATAGCAACCAACATTACCAAGTCAGAACTATATTCATTCATCACTGGTAAGAGCAATTTCTTTACTAATTGTATAGTAATCAGGTATTCATAGTCTGATTTTTTTTTCACACTATTATTGGTAATAGAATCACAAAAACTAATAGTGGATATTACAAGAAGTAGCAGGGCACTGAAGTGACAGGTAAAACTGAAAAAATAAATATTTTACCTTAAAATTTGTTTTTCCTAAAGTTATGTAAAGAAATCATTAACAGAAATTTTTAAATTAACTCCCAAATGGTATCCTGAATTTTATTAACATAATATAAAATTATTTTTCAGATTCTGATCCCTCAAATGCCAAAATGACAGTTATATGTTTAAGTTGTTTTTTTTTTAATGTGAAAGTGAAATCAGATTCAGAAAATGATAGGAATAGAAATCAGTGTGGAGCAGCGAAGCCAACAGAACCAAATTTCAAATCTGCTGAACAACCAATCGTTGAAGAAAAACCATCCTGTTCATCAAAGGAAGAAACAGATAATTATGTGCTTTTTATGTTTACAAAACAGTACAAATGGTTTAAAGTAAAAGAAGGTAAATGAGGATATAAGAATTGTTTGACAGGTCAGCATTTAGGAATAACAGAAAAACAGCATCTCCTTGTGTCCAAGGAGTGGAGCACATATTTAGTAACCCCAAATAGCAGTAATAAGGCAAGCTTCTCTGTGGAAAAAAAAAATTTAGGAAACATTACATTTCTAAAGCCAATACTAACATTCAAGATTTGTTCAAAGTAATGACTCAGTTTCCAATTTAGTGCAACAATTAAATGCAGTCAGTTCTACTATAATGCTTGTTTTGAAAATTCTGACTTGTTCCAATGCAATTGACATATTAGGGAACAAATTGAATATAGCACAAATCTCATGGTTACTTATGCATGATTTCATCAGCAAGAAACAAATTGCATGCAGCTGAAGTGAGCACAAAATGTCCACAAACAGACCTTAAACATTTGCCAGCAACCTCATTTCATTGAGTGTGTTATCCAGCATTACTTTATAATAACTCACTGGCTACAACCCTTGCTATGCTCACTTCCGCAAGCAAATTGCAGGTCTTTTTAAGGTGAAGGTATATTTATTATCTGTCTCCTGGTACAATATGAGCTGTGGGCGGAGGGGGGTCAGACCAGCCCTCCTCCTTCCTCCCTGTTACACCCTTGCTTCTTTCCCTGAGTTGCTGCTCACAGAGGCCTCGAGCCATCAGCATGGACAGTCTGGGGCCACAACTAGAGGCCACTGCCACTATGGTAGTATTTATGTATTTCTTAACTATTTAACATGTATAAAACTGCTACTGTTTTTTTAAGTTCATGTCTTTTTTTTTAATATGTCACTGACAAAATTTTTTAGTTTTGTATTCCTAATCCCATTTTTCCCATAAGCCCTATGGTTTTTATTGGGCAATTTTACATAGTATAGTGATTTTTGGGAATATGTATGTCCTGTTCAAAACTTAATTGTAAAGTATTGATGCTGCCCTAAAAGCTTTCGATAGTTTGCAGTTTAGTAAAATATAAGAGGCATTTTAGCAATATTGAGGGGGCCATAGAATTAAAAGAGAAAATTGGAGTAGGGAATTGTTGATATAGATAATGCAAGAAGATAGCAGAACATATAGTAAAATAAGCTAAGATAAAAATGTTTTTAAAATGTAGAGAAGAGAATGCCAAAATCTATATTATAACTGACAGGCATCTACAGTTTTAAAGAAAAGGATCCTTATGATTTATTTCCATTGCTCAGTTCAGTCAGCTTCCACACTGGTGCTGTTATTTATTGCTTTAAAAGATTTGCTGTCAGCCACAGCAGAGTGTATTTTTAGTACATTATTGTCTACTTTAAATGATTGTGGCTTTGATAATGAATATTTGAAAACAAAGTTAATTGCATTTTTTTTTTCTGTTGGCACTAATACAGTACTGGGAAGAAAGTCTGAAGTAACTGCAAAGTTAACAAATCTTTCCTGCAATCATCATTTGGCCCTGTTTGAATCACCAGTTGTAACTATCACTTGATGATTTGATATCTGAAGTAAAGCAAGTTAATCATTTAAAAATATTTCTGCATAAAATTTATCATGTTTATCACCAGTCTAACAAAAACCAAACTGACCTAGAAATGGTAGCTAAAGAACCTAAAATTGAAGTGATTAAAATTGCTGGAATACTGGGATGAGACAGATGGATGGTATGTGGATTGCAAGCTGCTGCTGCTGCTGCTGTGTGGCATACAGAGCCTGCGTTATACATACATTTTCTTCATTCTGATTCTGCTTTTGCAGAGAAGTTAACTAACATTGATTTCTTGTAAGACTTTGTTCTAATGAATTATCCTTCTTGAAGAATTTTCATTACTTTCAACTGCAGCATTTCATTTGCAGTCAAGATCCAGTAACATTCAGAAAGCACAAAAATTAATCAAGAGATCTGGAAACATAAAGAGCTATACCATACGTTAAGAGCTCTGGAAAACTTCAATTGGTACTGGAAAGCACGGATCTCAAGTTGAAAATTTGGTAAAGTCAAATAAGTTTACAGACATTCCTTTAACAAAGAGGATAAGCTACTTGGCCTTATGAAGAACTAACTTCACTATGGATTGCTAGTAATGTG